CTTATGAAGCTCTCATTAATGCATTATAGATATTGGTATAATGCAGTGCAACGTGTCCTTAATGCTTATACCGACCATTATAATGCATTATAAAGGTATCTATAGTGTATTATAGACATTCATAATACATAATAATCATGGCTATAAGGTGTTATGTCTTTAGATAAATATTTAAAGGCATGTTTATAATGCTTTATGAATGCATTACTATTTGCTACGAATGTGTGTATAAATCACTAAAAACATGGCCTTCAGTAAAGTGTTACAGTATTTTCCTGCAAGGATTAAAAATGGGCTCTGCTCTGATTTCCCCTCCAGTCTGCTGGATGCAGATGGTTTGCACGTTTGCAGCGTGAGAAACCCAACGTGCGTAAAGTGCATCGCCCCGCAGCCCCGAATGCCGGAGCAGCGCGCCTGGAGGCCGCCCGGGCACGCCATGCGGGCAAGCCGCCCGGGCACGCCGCAGCACCGTGGGGCCCCCTCCGGCGTGCGTGCCTCCCCCTGGCCCCTACGCCCCCCACCCCAGGCACCGTCAGACTAAACATCAGTGGGGCCGCCGCAGCCGTCTGGGCTGCACACTGGCAAACACACACCTTGAAGAGGTAGCCGTTCTTGATTCTGTTCTGCACGGATTCGTACTCCGACATGAGTCCGCACATTATGGCGTACCTGGGGAAGAAAAGAAGGGGGGGGGGAGGGACAGAGGGAGGGAGAGGGGGAATTGAAGGGGTTAGACCAAAACACTGAGTGCTGTATCCACGTTCATTCATGTGTATTATTCTCTGGTACAGCATGAATGAGAGCCTGTGTGCAGAGATTGCATAACAGTACATTGTTCCTCTCAGGTATATTAGCCACCCAAACAGGAGGCTATAAAATGATCGTTAAGAGTGTCAAATGTATTTAATATCCTACCTCATATGCACAAAGACACAGACCATACATGCAGGCTGTACCTCCTGTGTGTGTGTGTGTGTGTGTGTGTGTGTGTGTGGTTAGGGTTACACATAAACACAGACGCACACAGAATACAGAATACTTCCCAGTGTGTTTGTCTTTTGTGCACCTGTATACCCTTCCAGCCTGCATCAATGTGGCAAATTTCTCTATTTTTTTTTTTACCTACAGAAGATTAATGATGGTGTAAAGTAAACACACCGACTTACACGCCATACTGAGGGGTGGGCAGTCAGCGGAGCAGATGAAGACATCCGACGCAAACATCCCAGCAGCAATTAGCAGAAATCACAGACCAACGCGTAGAGCACCCATGCCAAATAAGCATGTGACCAGCATTTCCGCAACACGACACGTATACGATACATAACTCAGATAGCTGCCCGGAGTTTCGTATCGCCGACTGTCTCTCACCAAACCGACAGCCTGGTGATACGAGCCGAGATCTTCTGTTACTAAACTATATAGCACAGAGGAGAGAGGACCTCCTTATGAAAGAGTATCCTGGCGTTAGGATGGGATTTAGCAAAAAGCTAAGCGAGATAAGCGGCATGAATGGAGAGACAGTGGCCCCCTGTGCACTGCAGCAAGTCATTTGAGACAAGTGGATCACCTTGATCAAAGGCCTTTCATCACCAACTCCACTAATCCTGCTGGTACTCAGAGTCAAACACACTGACAGGGTACAAACACCTCTAATGAATGGGAGAGCAAGGTGAAAAGGTCACTGCAGGGCTGGAGGAGGGGGGGAAGAGGGTTTTAATGTGTTCCCAAACTCGCTGGAGCCATTTTTCCTTCCAGTACGTGGCTGTCAGATTAAAAACCTAAAACGGGGCGTGAAAGAAAAACAGTGAAGCAACCTTATCTGGTAAGGTTCTTCCTCCTTGGCACAAAAATAACACTTTCACACAAATTCATGCTGAAGATTAGAACATAAGAACATAAGAACTATACAAACGAGAGGCGGCCATTCGGCCCATCGAGCTCGCTTGGGGAGAACTTAACTAATAGCTCAGAGTTG